GTTTGGGATGAAAGAAATAGGTGGATAGCAGGTTGGTCTACTTAAAACAGCAGTTATAAGGCTTCCAGTTGTTGTGGATGGTGGATCCAGAAACTGATTACGGCATAACGTGGGACGAAGACGGCTACATAGACATCCTACAATCTACTTTCTTCGACGTGAATCCAAGTTGATTTCACCGTCGAGGATTAGTTGGAGCGCACGTTGATCTATTTGGTAGAGGCTATCGACGAACACTTCAAAGGCATCGGGTGGATGATCTCCACCTCTCCCTAGCAAAGCCGCTCCCATTCTACATCAGTTATAGGAGAGAGGGAGGAGATTTGGAGAATTAAAAGAAACTTCCTAATTTAGCTTCATGAGATAGGAAATATGTAATTAAATCCTTTCTCATTCAAAATTCAAATAGGAGCTAATTAAGGAGCTTTCCAAAAATAGATATCTTAAATTAGTAAAGAAATTTCAAATTCAAAATGCTTTGACATTTGAAATTAAACCTTTTTAAACTAAGATGAAATAATTATGGCAAGAATTCAAGATGTGATTTGTGTTTTGGAGGGAGGAGGAGGATGATGAGGTCGGCGGCTAGGGGTGAGTGAGGGAGGGAATTAAGGAGGCTTTAATGTTTCTTTAATTTTGGGGTTGGATTTAGAATGAATTACGTCATCTTAATTAATTCAAAATCCAATGGAGGGAAAATTTGAAAATTTTCCTAAAATAGATTTTATAATTTTTAAAAGATTTTTAATTTTAAATTTGGGGAAATTTGAATTCAAAGACCAACTAAATTATGGCGATCCAAAACTAGGAATTATCCAAATTAGGCAATGGGGAATGGGAGAGGGTGTGGCTGGCGGTTTGAATGGGGGTAAGGGACCGGCGGCAAGGTGGAGATGGAGACGACGTGATGGTGGAAGTAGGAAGAGGATGAATATGACTACTAGGAGCAATAAGAAGGAACAAAAACAGAGAAACAAAATATCAAAGATACAACCGCGAGCCCGGACACATCCTGCGGCTGACGGGTACTACGTTGCCCTTCTCCAAGGGACTTCACGCCACGAGCCCGGACCCATTCTGCGGTTGGTGGAAACCCCGACTCCCTCTCATAGGGATTTCACTGACGTTTTTTCCAAAGAACACAAGTGCAAAACACAAATTTTTTTATTATAATTCCATCATACCAAATACAAGAGAAGGGGCCTCTATATATAGGCCTTAAAAGAAATTAAAAGACACATTTGCCCCTTGGGCTTACATAAGACGAAAGGGTAAAAAAGGAAAATTGCAAAATTAAATCAAAATACACTTAATAAACTAAAATAAAATAAAGTGATCTCGATCGTCGATCTTCAGCTCCTCCTCGGATAGGCATGGACGGTTAGATGTCTGCATCAGTTGCTGTCCAGAAGAATTTCAGCAGTAGAAACAGCTGTTCTGCTGATCAGAAGTCCTCCAACTGCCGCCCAATTCTCCAAACAGAATCCAGGTTGCTGTCCAAAGAAAATTCAACCAAAAGGGGCGACTGTCCTGACCGGGAAGATCTTCTGATTGTTGTTCCAAGTCCAAAACCCAGAATTTGGTGAACTCTTTCCCTCATTCTTTTTTTTTTCTAGTCACTTTGTAATGTGGAATTAATTGATTCAATGAGATCATGTTAGTTCTATCCGCTAAAGCCTAGTATTTTAAAAAGTGAGTGAGTGAGTGGGCCTGCTTCATAGTGACTATTCTCATTGTTACCTTACGGATTATTGTTGAAAACCACTCATATATGCAGTGTTAGATTAATTGGATGTTTTACGATCTTAACTTCTATGCATGTGATTTAGCCTAAGCTTGTCTTACCGCTCTTTGTGTTTTTATTTTGTCGTTCACAAATCAATATAAAGATATAATTATTGTGATTTCTAACATTAAGCGTGCAAACTCCCTAAGTTAATCATCCTTGCATGATCAATCTACATCAATAACTTACTTCAAATGGTATTTTTGTTTTCTTTCAACAATTTTGATTGCTTATACTGTTGACATAAATAATACAAATAATTATTAAGATGCGTTTCATTTCAATGATTTAAATTATTTAGACTTCTAATATTTTTGGTTTGTACTTTTAGAAGCATATTTATTTGTTTTTTTATTCCCATATATATACACACACACACACACACACACATGCTAAATTTATTTTCTTAAGTTATAAATTAGTAAAATAATTTTTTTGTTAAAAAAAGAGGTTAAATTGTTTTAACAATATATCTTTTACTTTCAATTATTTTTTGATTGTTTAGTATTTTGCTACAAAACTTATAAGTTATTTGTTAAGGCATGTGTTCACTTATAATGTTTTGCAGTTCTTGATTTATTTTTTTTATATTTTCCATACACATTTATTTAAATTGTTCTTTTTTATATATATGATTTTTGCTTTCTTAAGTTGTAAACTAATAAAAATGAACTAATATTTCACAATAAATAAAATGCCTTTCACATTCTGCAAAATTATCATTTAATATTTAGATTGTTTATTCTTTATATTTTTTTACATTTTCAATTTTGTTTCAGTGTCCAATTTAAAAGGGGTTCAACCTATAAAAGAAAGTAATTTAAAATACCAGCATCCATATTTTGTTTCAATGATTTATATTGGTTTGACTTATACAATGAACCAAGAAGTGGCCAATTTATAATTTTATTTCAATATAAATTAAAAAGTATTTTAAGCATTACATATAATGAGATAAGATATTAGCTTTGTTTTATTTCAATCCATTTGATTTTCGCATTGTTTTTAATAAATTCTATATGCATCACTAGCTAAAAAACATCTAGTCGAAGAATATTATGGCACAATGAAGAGGGGTTGAATTGGATATTTTAAAAATATTAAAATGATTAAAAGGCTTTCTTTTCAAATAAAATTTTTATTGGGTACAAATTTAGAGGGCAAGAATAATTATCTTCTTCAAATCAGAATAACACATACACCAAATAAATATAAAATATTATCTTTCTTAATTATTTTAGCCAATATAATGATTTTCACAAAGATATTAAAATTATATTTTTCCCAAATAATCTGGTTGAGTCCATTACCACATGCAATAAAAAATTCAGAATACATGCAATTTATATCCACCAAGATTGCAATAAGTAGCTAAGACAAATAAGAGTGCGCTAAGAAAAAAGAAACGCAAACTGATGCATCATAGTTCGATCACTAACTGGCCTACATTCACTCCCTTAGTCCTCTTAGGGTTTTTCACTATTTTCTTTTGCTAACACAGGGCGGATATCTCTTTCACGGGTAATTACTTCTACTCAAAGTAAGAAACGTGCTACTCCTAGCACACCCCATTAGGTAATCAATGTTCATTTCAAGGCATAAAATTGGCTACCCCAATCACAACTCACCAGATAATCAACCTTTTTTTAGATAGATCTCTTTTTCATGATAAACATACAAATCTCTTAAGAGTCAAATATTCATACGTGAGTATTGTAAGGTTTGAAGGAAGAATGTGACTTGGTGTATGAGATGATTTTATCTCACTTAGGGTTGCTATTGTAGAATTATGCTTATGGTTGTTAGCTACATTCAGTACATTATATTAGCAATACTATCCCTCTTTTCAATCAATCAAATCCGCAATTAATGTTGATTAAAAATTTAAAGTTGATTTATCGTTGATCGTACGGTACAATCATGATCATATGTTAACATTGTTTAAATTTTTAATTGAAATCATTGGTTGATTATTAATATGTAATTTATTAAGTTATTTTAAGAAATGAATCATACAGTATGATATGCATTGTATAATATGATGAATTTAAAATCAAATAACATAATTAATATGAATTGATATTTCTGATTCATTTCAAGATTAAATATATTGTATAGTATGATATACTTTGCATGCTACGATTCTAAAATTATTTTAATGGATCAAATAACTACTTAACTAATCAAACTGTTCGATGTATTCGAACTGAAATCTACCTACTGTCCTTGATCGGACAACTCATTTATTTCTGAATTTTTTTAATTTTGCTTATTGCTTGACTTAATTAATTTAACATTTAACTTTGTGCGTGCAAGTTGTCTTAGCATCTCCAATACCTGAAATTACAATAATTTATGACTCAAAAATAAATAAAATAATTTTGCCTTGTGAGTTTTGATATGGAGTATAATTTTAGTTGTAATAGATCTAATGAGGGGATTGTGACTTTGGGTGATTAAGTCATTAGAGTACACGTTGAGTTTTGATCTTGATGGCAGTCAGTTTAACTTGAATTAATTGGACCACCAACTTCAATTCAGTTAATAAATGCACTTAAGGATTTCTTTATTCTGGATTTTCAAATTTAAGCGTGAACGAATGTAATTTAGTTCATACCTGTACTAAGTACTAACCTTAATGTAAAAAAAAAAAAAAACCTTAATGTACAATGCTAGTTAATATCAAGTTTTGCTTGTGATTATCAATTCACTAATTATCAATTTTAAACTCATAGGCTTAATAGTTAGGAGTTCTTTTATTTATAATTCTTACATTAAATTAAAAATAATAAAAAATGAACCATTTTCCAATATTCAATTTATTTGCACTAATAAAAAAATGAAACATTTAAAAGAATCGTTCCTTCTACTTGTGGAAAGTGAACAGATTAACCTTATATGGTGACTTGAGTAAATTGTAGAGGAAAAAAATAATTCTTCTAAACTTTATATGGTTATTATTTTTGTGTGTAATATATATTTAGGTAACTGTAGTTTATTGGCTCATGCTATCTTTTTCTTTACACTTAAATTTGCTATATCTTTACATAACAGCATCACTAAAAAAAATTGCTATATCTTAGTGTTGGGTTGCAGGTTACCTTATTTTTTTATAGTATGCTACTTATTTTGCTAGCTCATTATTTTTTAAAGTATAATGTATTATTTATCTAAAAACATTTTAACTGTTTCATATGCCTTTGTCTTTCTGCAGTTGTATCTGAATTAATACACTACACTACGGCAAATGGTTCTGGTGGTGCTTCAGCCTACATGCCCTTAATTCAAATACTTGTTCCTCACGTTATGGGACTTAAGGGCCAGCTCATGGATACTTCAAAGGTAATGATAACACTTTAATAACCATTTGTAACAACCAAAAAAATATTTCAATATCATCACACGAGTTATTTTGAATGGTTTAATAACATCCGAAGAAACATCCTTAACTAACCGAAAATTTAGCTCATGACTATGTTATAATCTGTATAATGACTATTTTATAATCTATAATTCTATATAATCATTCTATCCACTTATATCCTTATGACATCCATTTGGTTGTGTTTTGATTTATTTGTCTATGAATGCTTGGACAGATGAGCATGATTGTTTAGTCAGTGAGGTCTATTTGGCTGTGTTTTGATGTTTATGTTTGTGAATGCTTTCTTTGATGCACATGATGAACTATTTAAGTTCTCGATTTTCTACAATGGTCCATCGAAGTGGTTGAATCTAAAGTTCTACCTCAACTTCAACTTTTTATGGCTATTGTACAAGTTCTGTACTCTTCGGAATAGTTTGGCATCCTGCTTTCTTCTTTCTTGCTTCCCTGAACAGTAGAAGCAATTAACGTAGTTGGTGTATTTTCTACAATGAAAAGTCAGTTGCATGAAAGCGAAAAAAATAGCTTTTTTGGTAGATACTTATGGTAGATTCCCAACAAAACACATAATATTATAATTATATTATCCATGATATCCATTTTCAGCCATTCTATCATCTCATATTCATGCCCGATACTTTTTTACGAAGCTACTTTTATGACACATTAGGTGATTGTTTAAACAGCTTTTAAGCAATATTAATCTGCTTTTGTCAACATAACATAATAAAATATAGTAATGCCTAATAAAGCTTAAATATCCATTTTCATTTCTATTGTTTTAAGGTCTTATTGTGCTAACGACTTCTTTCTTCCACATCAAGACATTGCTTTCCACTTCCATTTATATGCTATGTTTTCCCAATATGCATGTTTTTGATAGTTTGATCACAGTTCTTTCGATTACTACCTTTACTAGTGGTTTCATTCTTTGGCTTGTATGATATTTTGGTTGAATTATCAAGTAACATCACCCGTTTTAACATATTGGTGTTATAAATGAGAAGTCGTTGATTGAGTATTTTCTTGTCAAAAAATTTTTGGAAGGGGACATGTACACTCTCAGAAAAACCTGAAGGACTGCCACATAAGCTGTTGCTATTTAAGCAGCCTTGATTGCAACACCACCTGATACTCCCTTCAATGGTGTCACAACTACTGATGAGTGCATCACTAGATATGATACTTTGTTGAAATGAGCCATCAAAGTATAAAGTGTTATTGTCTAATGATGGTCTTTGTATGCTATCCGTTGCAAATAAATAAAAATTTAAATTATTTATGGGTGTGTGATATTTTTCCTTGTTTAGGTATCTCTAATACATATGACAAGCAGTAGTATTTGCATGTGCAGAGATACCATTTTTTGCTTATTTAATGTGTACGGAGTAAATAATTTATTCTGCAGTTACAAAATTTTCAAATGAGTATCTTGAAAGTTCTTAAAATCTGTTTGTATTACTTTTTTAGGATCTGTCACCGTGTTCAAGTAATAATGTGGGAATATTGAAGTAATAGAAAGTTTACAGTCAAAATGCCATGCTAAATTTGGAAAGAATGCAATTTTTTGGAGATTTTTTTGGGTGATTTACTCAAACTTTTTCGACCATGGGACTTGAGGTATTGATGCAAATAGATTATAAATGTATTAAGGTCAAATTATTCCAAATTTTACTTATTAACTTCAAGTTCAGTGCTCCCAATTCAAAATTAAAGGTGTAAGTTATATGTTTTCCAATCTTGCTCGACGACATGCACCAATATTAATCATCCCATCCTGTAGGTTATGTGTAAGATTCTCTATGACCTCTTGTAAGTTACATTAACTTTATAGAGTCAATACAATCTATCTTGGTAATAGTAATCCTTTTTATTTTCTTCATGATCTGCATGCATGCGGAGAACCCTAGCTCTGCTCTTGCATCCTTGCGCTTGTGTAGTGGCACAAATCCTCCTACCCATTTGCTTGCCTGGGGGTTGCCTCCACATCCTTCCCCCTCATCCGACTCTGTATGCCTGTTTTCTGATTCGGCTTCTTCAAATGTGAGTGCCGCCTATGGTTGATGCTGCTCTTTTTAGGGTGGCAATCTGCCTCCCATTTTCCTTCTCTAACCTAGGTTCTCCCCTCTAGACACCCCTCCCTTTTCTTCATTCCAAACCTATTTGGCTCATCTCCTTATGTATTACGGGTTGCTTATCCTGACCTTCCTTCTCTTCACTCCCTACTTCTGCTAAGCTGCTTCATTCCTTGGAGGCTCTTAGGGTTTTGGTGGCCCGGTCCGGTGGAGCACAGGGCGTCAGGTGGTGGTCCGACAGAGTGATGACGTTAGACGGTGGTCTGGTGGAGCACAAGGCGTCAAGTGGTGGTCTGGCGGAGTGACGGTGTTAGGCGGTGGTCCGGTGGAGCACAGGGCGTCAGGTGGTGGTCCGACAGAACTCCGGTGGTGGTCCGGCGGTGGTCGAGGAGGCTAGGAAGCAAGAGCGATCTCCGATCTCTCTTTTTTCCTTAAGCTCCGGGGTCCCTTTTCAAGAGGAGAGGGAGCTCTATTTATAGATTTTGGGAATGACATGGCCCGTAAATAGGTAGAGGATCAAGGGTTAGTTGGGAGTGGTTGGATTGACGGCCGATCTTGAATCCTTTGATCATGAACCGTTCGATTGACGTTTGAATGTCGTAGTGATGTCGGAATTCAGTGATCTTGGGCTCGTTGGATTCGTCTCGTTGAGCCGCTCGATTTGACTATAAGCTTGTTATGTTTGGAATCTGTTTGGTAATCCAAATTGTTGTTTGAACCTTCCAACAGCGCTTCGGGTTCTTGATTTGGACCCATTTGGGCTCAGATTGGGTTGAATTTGGTGTCGTTGGGTTCGTATTTCCGAGACGCTTAGTTCGACTGTAAGTTTGCTGAAAATGAAGTTCAGATGCTCCTGATTTTGATTTCGGAACTTTCCAACTTGATTTTGCTTTGAGATTAGTGCCATATCAAGATAATTTTTGTATGATGTATCAAAGCTGAACATTCTCATGTACACAAGTCAGCTTCTTTCTAAGACAATTATGTGCTTATTTTCATTGATGATGAGTCTCTGAACTTGCTTGACTATTATTGGAGAATTCTCATTGGGTCATCCCAATATAGATCTATTCACAAATTCATGTTGATTTGCCATTGATTGGCGAATTTTTAGTTGGCCTTGTTGATCATTGCCAAATTATTATCATCAAATGGGTATGTACACTAAGCGCTTTTCTCGTTGTACATACTATGTTAGCATATTTATGATGAGAATATTGAATGGTCTTCCCATTTTAATGCATATGAAGAACCACCTATCACTCTTGTTTGTTTGACCTTTCCTATGTTATCTTTATATTATTTCACCAATAAGCTTATACTTGTCGATATCTGGTGTTTGGTTGTTCTTGCTTATGTTACGTTTATATTATTTCACTCAATAAGCTTATACTTGTTGATATGTGGTAAACCTTTTCAAATTGATGTTCCTACTACTCGTCTTTCTATGCCATTTGTGGGTAGGGTCCTAGTGGAAATGGATGTTTTCATTTTCATAAGGAGTTTGGATTGACACATCGTCTTGTGGTTATTAATAGAAGGTTGACTTCGAAGACATCTACCAATATTGCTCTTTTTGTAACTTCTTCGACGACAATAACTCTTAGGGCTGCAAATGAATACTAGCTACTTGTGGCTCAGCTTGACTACAACTCGTCCGTAATTGTTTGTTTAAGTAATCAAACAAATTTCAATAATTTTTAAAATACTCGACTGTTAAGTAAACAAACTAACATTTATGTGTTTGACTCGCTATGTTCATGAACAATTTCAATTAAAGCTCATGAACAAGCTCAATATAAAGTTCATTAAGAAGTTTGATTAAGTTTTTATTTTGTATATTTTCAAATAATTTAAGTTTTATTATAATAAATGATTATTATTTTATAAAAAAATAATTTCATTTATTATGTTATACCCTTTCAATTGAATGAATTATTCATAAACAAGAGGTATTTATTCTTGTTTGCTGGATTGTTTTTTTAAAGTGTTTATGAACAAATTTTTTTATCAGAAGAATCATTTTCTAAGCTCATTTATTTATGAAATGGCTCTTTTGGTAGCTCTAAAATACTAGCTAGACATGTTTGTGAATGAGCTTTCTTGGTAGATTGAAAGCACTTGCTAGATATGTTCTTGAATGTGCTCTAAGTAATTGTTTGTTAGTAGGTTTGATAAGGCTCATTTGTTTAAAACGCTCGGTAAGCATAAAATGAACCTAGCATGAACTAAACACAAACCAAGCATTAACATCTATTAAAGCTTGAACAAAAAAAAAAAAAAAATCGAATCAAGCTCAAACAAGATGATAATAAATGAGCTATAATATGAACAAGCAACTACTCGGTTCGTTTGCAGCCCTAATTAACTCTGATTGCTTGAACATCCATCATGATTTAAGAAATTCAAATATTCAGGATCCTGAAGTGTAATCAAATTTTCATATCGTCCTTTCTCCTTCAATGATTGTTGTGATATGCTTGAACTGGTCCAGCAGGCCCAACTTGTGGGTTGGCTCCTGCAATACAACAGGCATAAGCTTGCTGGTCTGCAGGCTCCCAATCCCGCCCCCCGTGAGGTGGAATCCACTACCTATGGCTAATTGTTTGAGGGCTATTCACTCCTTTTATGTTATTTTTGTATTTGCTTTTAAGTTGGAGTTTGTATTTGGGTTAGGGCATCTAAATTGGTGCTGATTTGGTTGTTCTTGGTGCTTGGCATCTTGGGTTCTAGCAGCGTCCAAGTATGGGAGAGATAAATCCTCCTCTTTTCTTTCCCAATCAACACCTCTTGGTTCATGCCCTCCATAACTACACCTCTCTCCATACCTTCCACCTCTCTCCTCTACGATCTCCACATCTTTTTTTTTTACTTCTATGAAT